ATCTCAATCTTCCCGAATGCCCACCCGAACCATTACAGCATCAAGATGTTTCTTAAATAAGTCCAGCTTTGTTGCTTTTACACCCTTTCTGGTAACCCATTCCAGCTGTTAATTAATCTCTAGTGCAAAATATACTTATTGGTGTCTGTCCAACAATTCCCGTCAGAATTCTGTCCTCTTGTCCTGCTGCCTTGGTATGTCTAAACATATTGTTCTGGCTTTACTTTCTCAAATCCCTCTTGTTCATGGACAATGTTCTTCCCCACTCTTCTCCTGAATTTATACAACATATTCATGATATCCATATTATAGCTATGTTATATTTTAATATATAACATAGCTATAATATAGCTAAACTGTCCTAGCTTATGTTTTCAGTTATAAGTTTCCCTAATGTGCATCCATTCTTTGTTTTCAGTAGAAATTTGGCATCTTAATACAATATAAATTTGGCCGATTTCAATGAATTTTTAAACTTAAAATATTAATTTTCAGTTATTATTAAACCCAGTTTTTCTCCCAGCTGTTTGATTATAAAATATAATAATACATCATATTACCTGAATAAAAGCAAATGTGTTTTTTAACTCCAACCAGCATTCAGTGATCACTGGCCGATTGGCCTACTTAAACTATGAATATGCGTGCAATAGAGCAATGAGCTATTGCGCTGCAAGCAAAAATAAATAATAAAAAAAATCCTTGCATTTGATATAGCACTTTTCACGTCTTCTCAAAGACATCTCAAAGCGCTCCACAGAATATACTGTAAAGTGAATTAACTGTATATTTGTGGGCGAAATAGCGGCAGCCAACTGCGCACAGCAGCGTCCCACAAACAGTCGTGGATTGAAGTGACCAATTTTATTGTTGGTCAACACAGTAAAGACAATGACTGTATTATTTGTGAAACCAGGATAAGGATTATATAATTTGCTTAGATATTAATTAAAGACACAACTACGGCAATTCATCATGAAACCAGATTATTAAAACTATAAATTTAAAATAATCAGGATAAAGTATAATAATAATAATCCTTGCATTTGATATAGCGCTTTTCGCGTCTTCTAGACGTCCCAAAGCGCTTCACAGAATAGACTGTAAAGTGAATTGACCGTATTTTTGTGGGCAAAACGCGGCAGACAATTGCGCACAGCAGTGTCCCACACAGTCATGGATTGAAAATGACCAATTTATTATTGTTTTGTTTTGGAGGGATTATTATTAGGCTCTGTGTGGAGTAAGGAAACTTGCCCAAGGTTTCGCCCTCTGCCTGGAATTGAACTCAGGTCTCACTTGCAAAGCGAGTGCTCTAACCACTGAGCTACAGGACTCCACTCCACCCAAGTAGCAAGGGTACCATAGAATTAATGACAATTATTTCTGATTTAGTAACCGTGCAACATGGTAGTTTTCCAGCTAAAGACCATGCTACCTGTTAGTGATTGGTTTACAGGGTGAGAGACTTTCACATCTGCAATGGATTCCTATTCATCCTTTTCCAGGCATCTCTCCGCAGAGACAATTTAGCCTCGGGGAACTCCTGCTTACGTCTTCCTGAGAATGTTATCATTTGAGTAGCAAGTATTTGAAGTTCAAATAAGGCCATTTCAAACGCAGATTGCAGAAAAAAAATCCCCCCAAAATAAATTTGTATTTAAACTTTATGGAGAAGGGAGTTTCTCCCAGTGCCCTGGCCAACAATCCCTCCAATAAAATTGGTCATCATGGCCATTTGTGAGACATTACTCTGCACAAGTTGGCTGCTGGGTTTCGCCTATAAAACAGTCACTACACTTCACAGTAAATCCTATGAAGGGCTTTAAGACGTCCTCCCAATGTGAAAAGGTGCTATATCAAATGTAAGGATTATTAATAAAAGCAAATAGTTGATAAAACAGTCAAAACCCCTCTCACAATAGCCGCCACATAGTGTTTGTGCTTTTAGCCTCAATGCAAAACGTTATTACAACTGATCTTCATCTCACAGCTGCTCACACAGTGCCTACTGCCTGGAAAACATTCTTATTCCATAATTCTGAAGATAACCAAATCCAACACACACCTGGAAGGCAAGTTAAACCTGCAATTCATTTCTGAGATCCTGTTGTTTGTTTTGTTTAGAAAGAATGAGATTTACTGTTGTGTCCCAAAATCCTTGGCTGAGTGATGGCTTTGCATCTCACTTCGGTTAATGTGTATCAGACAGTCTCTTTCAGCTGAGAGAAAGGGAGAAACTGGACCTTAGAATCCTTAGGTCACTATCAAAAGCTTCTGTGACCGTCCCTCAGGAGGCACCCAACAGGGATGTAAATTCAGGTTTGGTAGTTCCCCCAACCCTCGACTTCCAACTGCCCAAAACAAACTGTCATCCGACAGCAGGACAGCCATCACTCTAAGGCCTAGGAAGTCATGACCTTCTATTTGGGAGCAAAGGCCTCAAATGGATGAACAAGCTCGTTAGGAGTTTACTACATTTCTGTAAATTACTCATGCTGATCATTATTAAAAGGTGGCCGGGTTGTTTGAACTACAGCAAAGCTAGAAACGGTAACACTATACTTTCTATTTTTGTCCAAATTGCAGTAGGACATTCAAGGGGTCAACACCTTGCTGTTGTTATTTGCTTTGTAATATTTGTAACAGAGCCTCTTGTATGTCCTGTCCAATGTGTTTAAGCGCATTATTACTACTTAACAGTGCAGTGGGCACAATGGGAAACCTTCTAATCTTTTAAGTGGACTAATCAACCGCCATGAATATCGGTTTGCTATGATCTTCAAACAAATAAAGAAAACATTTCATTAACGTTTATTGTTTCGTTTCATAATCTTTCTATTTTTGGCCCTTGCTTTGGGTGTAATTTTAATGGCATTCGAACTTGGTGAGAAAAGATGTTTTGAAATAACAATTATTGATAAATCGTAATATACATTCGCAATACTTTGTTACTCAATCCAGATTTAAGATTTGCCACAACAACCACAAGCATTTACATAGCGCCCTTCATGCAGGGTAGCGTCCCAGAGCGCTTCACAGTGGCGGAGTCTGACTACCAGGCAGAGGAGAGGAGGACCGTAAGCATGATCAAAAAGGAAGGTCTTTAGGCGGGATTTGAAAGTGGGGAGGGAGGGGGCGAGGCGGAGGGATTGAGAAAGAGAGTTTCAGAAATTCGGGGCGTGGTGGCTGAAGGCACAGCTGATAATGGTGGAGCAGAGGGGGCGAGGGGCGAACAGGAGACTGGAGTGGGCCGAGCGGATGCGGAGGCATGTTTACCAGCAATAGCGGAGTTTGGGTTAGGCGGGTTAAAGTGGAAATGTATCAAACATTACGGTACAACTTGTGGAATGGAACAAGTTATTATCAGTATAACAATAATGACAGCAGCTGTGAAGATGTCCAGTATAGCCACTCACACCAGGCTGGCCAGAGCAGGAAGAGAGGCGTCAGGAAGTAGCGAGGAGGCCCTAACTGGGGAGGGGGCGGGAGGGAGGGGAATAACTTCAAAGTGAGATTCTTGTGGTTTCTTTTCTCATGTACACAAGTTCCACACGGATACATTAATATTTTTGTCATTAATAGATTATTGATTTTTTTCCTGTTTGCACAGCACCCCTGTGAAATAAGAGATCAGGATGCAGACTACTGTAGCACAAAGGTTAACTATAAGCATACATTCAGCAAAGTAGTTACATAATCCCATCAGGCAGAGAGCATGCTATTGATGTGCAGCCCTGGGTTTAAACCTAAGATTTTCGGAACGTTTCATCATACAATCTAGAGATGGCTTCCGTTCTTTATCTCGGTTTTTTCCATATTCATTTCATCTTTGCACCAGAGACAAGAAGCACAGGTCTTACAATATCCTGCTGGGCTGTCTTTATGATGTTTTGGGATGGTAGATCAAGACATTTTCCTGAGAAGGTCAAAGACTTATTTCTTTAAATAGACTCTTTAAATATTTTTTAACCCTGGGATTACTAATTGTACATACTAAATGTAGCTTCCAATATTCCTCTGTTTTCTATAAAAGAGTGAAAGCTTCTTGCTGAACGCGATACAATAGGAAAAATATAATGATCAAATGTTTTATTCATAGCACATTACCGGTTTCTCAGTATTAACACCCCTGTCATGAGCAGAATATTCTTTCCAATTAAATAATGTGTATTCATCCCAAATGGCAATAATGTGCCCTACTTTTCAAACTCTAGCAACAGGTTAACACCAGCTGAGAAGAGGATGTAAAATCACCACACTAAGCCCTTTCAGACTGGTTTAGCCATATGACAAGAACAGGTAGTTATGGAAATGTCAACTAGACATAAGCTGTTCATGAGAAATCAAACATTCACAGTGGGTATTGGCAGGCGATTCAACTCAGCCCAATTGTGTTTGCATCCATCATCCACATACTCTAGGAGGAGTCACTGGATAGTAATAAGGAGTGTTAATGCAGCTGATCTGTGTCTGTTCTTTGCCCAGGAGCATTAAGGCTAATTGTATTGCCCTAACTGTTGCCCGAGCTGAAATCAGTTAAGCTCAGCATAGACTGGGTATCAAACCTGCAACCTTGTGGTCTATTATGGCTTAGTCCTACACGCAGGAAACAACATAATTTAAGACAAACATTTGATAAGTATATCTGTCACTTGCGATTTCTCCCTCATTGAACTGTGTGCCTGAATCAAGATACTCAGAGGAGAAAATCTTTGTCCCAGTAGATGACGCATCACGCTGGCATATTTTGAGTATTTTGACATAAACTAGTTTGGCTATAAACTTCCTTTCGGGAAAATACAGACGTGTGTTCATACATAGAGACAGAATACAAGTGGAAGAGGAAGTTCTATCTCCAGCACAAGAATATGTTTTGTTTGTATTCTACTAACTACATGTAAGGTATTAGAAGAGCGCCATTAGCAGGAAGAGTTATTGGAAAGCTGATAAGGCAGTGCAGCCTGATTCACTACAGGGCTGCTAGGCTATAAACTTACCTGCATTTGGGTCCTCATTTAGTCGGCTATATTTAGACTGGTCCAACTTCGCTACACACTTCACAATGGGTACCCAGACATACGTCTCTGGACACAGCAAGTCAGATGGATGGTACTGACCCTGCGAAAGAAAAGCAGACACGACTATAAATTAAACAAGAACATCCACAATGATCTAATTGGTGCACTGTTTCTGTGAAGCAAAAAGTAGTAAAAGAAAAGTTACTGAATACCTGAATATTTTTAACATAAGCAGAATATTTAAAGCAATGTTTAAGCAGGAAAGCTGCAATTATATATTGCACCTTTAGCTGCAAAATTCTGCCACCAGCAATGGTTTTGTCTCCTTATGACTTTTGGCAATTCTTCACCACAATTTAAAAAATATATATTTTAAAACATTTACCTGTACTAGCTCTTGTTAATTCTGTTTTCTGTTCTTCCTCATTCACTGTTCTTTTTATTTTGTTATTTTTATTTTAACTTAGCTATTTTCTAACTATTTTAAAATTCTTTCGAATATTACTGCAGTCAATTTTATTCCCTCAATTCTTCCACCAATGAAATGAATCTTTCTTATCTTGCCTGTTCTTTTCTCTCGGAGATTTTTCTTTTAAAAAGTGACTTATTAAGCCACTTGGTAGCTAAAAGGCTGATGATTTACAGGGTTGTCTCATAGAAGCAGGCTTTGCAATCACTGCAAAATAAGAGTTGGAGTCAATTGTAAATGCACGCGGATGGCACCCCAGGATAGAATGCTAACTTAAGAGTATAGGGAACTAAATGTTTAGAGCTCAAACACACTGCACAGTAGTGTGGTAGGATGCTGTTTTTTGGGAGGTCACCGTAACCATAGTCGAAAAGGAATATTTTCAGGCGGGACTTGAAAAAGGGGAGAAAGAGGGCAAGTCGGAGGGATTGAGGGAGAGTGTTCCAGACTTTCAGAGTGTACACTCATTTTTAAGGATGCCTCAAGAAAAGTAGCAATTAACATTACAGATGCAGACCGACTTGTAAATTGAGCGTGTATTTTTCGACAGTCAGGATTGAACAGGGACAGTACCATTTCCCTTACTGCAGAGCCAGTAGGTTGCAACCCTACGTGACAAGTTGTTGTTTTCAATTTCCCAAGGGCAACTGATAAAGGCAAAGTCTTATCAGCCATCTAAGAAACATATTAAATAAAGTTTTTCAATTAGGTTCGAAACCAAATCAAAATATTAATCAAACATTATTATGCTGGGCCTAGAAAAGTGGGCCGTTCCCTTAGACTGTGCTCCAGCAGGAAAATAGTTAACGTACAAATGTGGTCATCTAAAGTCCATTAAACAATCAGTACCTTAAATGCAATCGCAATCTGCTCACCCCTGAAGGACCATGGATGGATAAGAACTAGCATGCTTCCTTTGTGCATGGCAGTGCATTCCCGTGCCCCCTGCCAAATCAGATAATAAACTATAATGTGGGGTGGAGAGAGAATGACTACAGGAAAACCTCCCAGCTTCAGGACTTCACTCAGTCCATTGAGCTTCAAAGCTGAACGTGTAATAACTTCAAAGCCCCATCTTACATTTTTTTGCCTTTCCCCAAATCTGCTTTAACTTTCCCTGGCCCTAATCTCAAGTTCCTGGATGGTCATTTCCATTTAAAATAATAATAGGTGGGTTTACATTTTGCTGTCCTAAAGCAGCCAAGCTCCAAATACAATAATATAATTCTAAAACTGACAATAAACTATGATCCAGGTATTGACAAAACAAAAATCCACAAATTTCTATTTGCTTGTGAAAAAAAACAACCTCCAACAAGGCTCCGAGTCAGATATTTATCCAGTTCTGAGTTAATGGCGACATCAATTGGGAGGTTGTTTCCGTACAGTATTATTGCAGAAATGACTGCACAAGTTGGATGGACTATTTCCTCAGCAATTTGGACACAATACAATGTCTGCTCACTGCTTTAAATCAGCTAGTATACTAGAACTTTGTAACTACTCTCAATTTGCTTAAACCATTCTGCTCAGCACTTCTTAAACTTTGGAACCCCAATAAATTAACCTTCAGATATAATACAAGAAAATGAGGTGAGTAAAGGCCAGCTGACCTGCTCCTTCTAGATGAAGACTATAACAAAATCTCAAATGATGTTTCACGTTGATTTTTACAACTAAGATTACATGAAAGGATTATTTCCTCTTCAACAAGTGTCGCATTATACCTGCTTTGAGTTACAAAAGATGTTGTGTTTTGTCTTTCGTTTATATATTACAGCAAAGAAACGTAGATATTACATCTCATCATTAAAGGCGACTCTTGTTCGTTTATCTGGAAATATACTTTGCTGCTGGTATTCTTTTCCATGCTTCTATAACCGGGATAACTATGTCTGGAGGAAAATAAGAGCACTGTACCTACTTGGTGCTTGATCATTAATAGGTAGAAAATGTGGCTCATAGACTAATAATGGTAAAGTGGAGCCATGCTGTTCAGTTTAAAAGTTCAAAAAAACTGTGGTCATGCTTGAAGTCTAACAGGAATTACTGCAGTCTTCTGAAAACTGTGTTAGGTTCAGATACAAAGCGGCTTTTAAAAGATAATAATAATAATACTTGCATTTGATATAGTGTCTTACCACGTCTTCGAGACGACTCAAAGCCCTTCATAGGATACGCTGTAAAGTGAACTGACTGTGTGTTTTGTTGGTGAAGGTGGTGGTCACTCACACAAAGTTTTAACACAAAAAGCATATTTACAAAAGATTTTGTTATTGTTCCACAAGACGTAACATGTGACCAGAAATTGGTCACTCTTTGTGGAGTCCTGTAGCTCAGTGGTTAGAGCACTCGCTTTGCAAGCGAGAGGCCTGAGTTCAATTCCAGGCAGAGGGCGAAACCTTGGGTAAGTTTCCTTACTCCACACAGAGCCTAATAATAATCCCTCCAAAACCAAAAACAATAATAAATTGGTCATTTTCGATCTACAACTGTTTGTGGGACATTGCTGTGCGCAATTGGCTGCCGCGTTCGCCCACAAATATACAGTCAATTCACTTTACAGTGTGTTCTGTGAAGCGCTTTGGGACGTCCTCCCGACGTGAAAAGCGCTATATCAAATGCAAGGATTATTATTATTATTATTATGTGATTCTTCTTCAGGATGTTTTCAATGTGTAATAGCTGTGTAACGAATCACATATCAAAATAGACTTTCTTAAGATCCTTGTCCACATCTGAAATGCCTTCTCAGTCATGCCAATGTGATTTTGTGCTCCTATTCGTTGCCCATGTCCTTTACACCAGCTACTCTGGCCGCCTTCATGCGCCCCATCTGCTTCACCTCACCCCTGTTAGGCGAGCTTTCAAACACTTTGTCCCCACTCTCTGGATACTCTTGAGCATAGTGATAAAGTTTCCACATGTGCCAGACACCCGGCTGACCAAAAGAAACCTCTGGAACCATCTTCCAAAACCTCTCTGCCTTGCCCCCCTTTTTCTGCTTTCAAACCCACCTTAAAAAAAACACTCTTCGGGTTGTGCTTTCAGGTAGTTTCCGCCAACCCTCTCCCAGCTCGGGCTCCCCACTCAGACTTTGCAAAGTGCTTCGAAACATTCTCCTGCGTGAAAGTCACTGAAGCGAAACTTGTCGTTTGGAGGGAGATGCTAACTCTTCGTCAGGGGATGTGGGAACTAGTACTGTATTTCAATAAATTAGATTAAACAATGACTAATTCAGATTGAAAGCATGTATTCTTACATGTGCTGCATTGTGTGCTTTCAATGGAATGTGTAAACTGTTACTTATTCACAGATTTTGTTTCTTGAAAGCCTTGAAAGTTTCAAAAAAAATCTGATATAATTCTTAACCCTCAGAAATAATAGTCTGGTCTCTAGCCTATTTTCACATTTTCTGTTTAACTAAATGTGTGTTCTAAACCTAAGAGGCGGTAAGAAAATGAACACTAGTGCTCACATACATTTGGAATATAAAAAGCAACAGAGATCAACAGCAACACATGGCAATGCACGACCACAAAATATAGTATAATAATAATCCTTGCATTTGATACAGCACCTTATCACGTCTTCGAGATGTCTCAAAGCGCCTCACAGAATATACTGCAAAGTGAATTGACTGTATATTTTGTGGGTGAAACGTGGCAGCCAATTGCGCACAGCAGGGTGCCACAAACAGTCGTGGATTGAGTGACCAAAGTCTGATTTTTTTTTATTTTGGAGGGATTATTACCCTCGGAATGAACAGGTCTACTGAAAAACATTCAGCTGTTGCACACAAGAGAAGTGAAATTAAGATGTGTTAATAAAAGGGGGACGAGTAAATCAGCTCCACCGTACAACATTCCTGTCCAGCCAGACCTAACGTTGGCAATTTTTCAAATAAATCCATTTATCTTATTACAAGTATAAATACGTCTGCATGGCTCAACATGGTTTCCATTGACCTGTTCATAATGCAATACTAGGCAGCAGAATTTCATTAAACTCCAGTAGAATTCATGTGGAAGAAAGACACAGCTTAGATTTATTAAATTCTATCCTTTCTGTGAAAGATGACACCAGTAGATTTTCTTCAATAATCTTCGTCAAGGACTTTGTGGCCCCACTGCCTGATTTCATTACACTGACCGAAATTGACTTAATTATGCCCCAGATGAGTACTTTGCCTCCTCTGGCAAGTAACTCAAGCCAGTCGATTTTGACCAACACTTGGAGTAGTTAGGAGTCATGATGCAATGACAACAGAGGGTAAAAAAGGCAGCTTTCAGTCTGCATTCACCAATGTGTTGCTTTTTTTTAAAAAAAAAAGGGCCAGTAACTGTTAAATCATGTGAATGAGCTCGACTTGCCTTAAAGAGCCAATTAGCATGTTCAGGAGACGGTTGTGCAATTTTAAATAGTTTTTAGTCCAGATTGTTTCCTTGACTTGCAAATATTTCAGCTGTGCATAGATTTGTTTTCACTGCCCCAAGCTGGAACAGAGAAATATATTGTTTAAAAATAAAATAAGAGTATCTGTAGCAACCATTTTGCCATCCTGTTCCCATCTTCAGAAAAAATTCTGCAAACAGCTTGTTCATGAATGGATGAGTGTTTGTTGAATATTG